TTAAGGCAGGTGGAAGACAATAGAGTCTAAATTGGGAAAAGTGTCCATAAAGAAGAAAATATACTAGCTACTATTGTTGAGTGCTTGCTTTGGGATGATATACTGTACCAAGTGGTTTCTCTGCATTATCTTGTTCATTCCTGACAATCAATGAAGTATATTCTTTTATTATTCCTTTTGTGTGTGTCTCATAGATATATTTGCCTGGGATGGCTTTGAACTGAGATACTTAAATCTCAGCCTCTTGAGTAACTAGAACTATAGGAATGAGCCACTGATGCCTTTACAGATTCATCTAACAAGCTTGTGACCTTGAGCTGAGTACTTAACCTCTCTGAGATCTAGCCCATAGTCTACAAGCTAAAATCTTTATTACGTTTTTTAAACTGTGATTCAATGACAGAATTATTTACAAGGCTCAACAGACAATGCAGCTGTTGGTATTTTTACTGTTACTGCAACTGTTATTATTTATTTATTTATTTTTTATTGTGAAAATACTGTACAGAGGGGTTACAATTACATGAGCAAGATAATGAGTACATTTCTTATCAAGCATTGTAGCCTCCTCCTTTGTTTCCCCTTCTCATCCCATCCTCCCCCCTCCGCCCCCCACCCAACCCTCCTCCTGTTATTATTTACATGATTTTGGGTATTTTCTAGTGATGAGGGTACTGAGATTTGAACTCAGTCTCATGTTTACTAGGCAAGCATTCTACCAACTGAACAGTGCCACTGTCCTTGCTACTATCATTTTCAACAACACTTTATTTTCTTGTAGTATCTAGTGGTAAAAAAAGCAGTTAGATTTAAACTGAATTTTGTCAGATTCTAAAGTCCTTGTTTTTTTTAATTTTTATTTTTTTATTGTGAAAAATACTGTACAGAGGGGTTACAATTACATGGGCAAGATAACGAGTACATTTCTTACCAAGCATTGTAGCCTCCTCCTTTGTTTCCCCTTCCCATCCCTTCCCATCCTCCCCCATCCCCCCCCACCTAATCCTCCCTACCCACCCCTAAAGTTGTAAAGTTTGTTTTCGACATAACGACTTGTACTTTTCATTGTTGCAATGGGTAAAGTCCTTGTTCTTATCGGACACATTCAACTGCCCATTTGTATAGCACTTCAGTTACCCTGGTTTGTGCTGTCATTTAATGATTCCAATGCACGTGTTGGCTTAGGTACTTCGACTTCTATCGGCTGTACAAATTCTACGATGACCTGATGCTCCTGAAGAACTACGAGCAGTGGAAGATGGGTTATGGCGACGGCAGTGGCAACACAGTGTACAATAACTTCATGTATTTTAACTACTATGGCACCAATGACATGGCCAAGGTGGATCTGTCCTCCAACACCCTGGTGCTGAGGCGTCCATTGCCTGGTGCCACCTACAATAACCGCTTCTCCTATGCTAGTGTGCCCTGGACGGGCTTAAATTTTGCTGGTGATGAGGAAGGGCTATGGGTGATCTATGCCACTGAGCACAGCAAAGGCAACCTTGTAATAAGTCGCCTCAATGCCAGCACCCTGGAAGTAGAGAAAACATGGCACACCAGCCAGTACAAACCAGGCTTGTCAGGGGCCTTCATGGCCTGTGGGGTGCTGTATGCCTTACGCTCACTGAGCACTCGCCAGGAGGAGATCTTCTATGCATTTGACACCACCACAGGGCAGGAGCACACTCTCAGCATCCTGTTGGACAAGATGTTGGAAACTCTGCATGGCATCAATTACTGCCCCTGGGACCACAAGCTCTATGTCTACAATGATGGCTTCCTAGTAACTTATGACCTCATCTTCCTGACTACGAAGTACCAGCTGCCCATAAGAGCAGCAGCCAAAAGGTTGTCTGGGGCTCATGCTCCACAAAAATCTATCAGACCCAGTAGGCCCTCCAGGCCCTGAGATTCCAGGGCTGGGACAGGGCCTTGACAGAAGTGTGCTTTCCCTCATTTCTATGAGGATCACTCCTGCAAATGGCCATGAACCTTAATGATTGTGAGACGCTGATTCTCTCTAGTTAGCTCCTTAGGTCATTACTATCTCAACTCTCATATTAAGGTTCTTTTTAATAATCACCTGGGGGACTGGGAAGGTGGCTCAGTGGTAGAGTGCTTGTCTTGCATGCATTAGGCCCTAGGTTCGAATCCTCAGCACCACATAAACAGAAAAAGCTGGAAGTGGCACTGTGGCTCAGGTAGTAGAGCGCTAGCCTTGAGCTGAAGAGCTGAGGGACAGTGCCCAGGCCCAGAGTTCAGGCCCCATGACTGACAAAAAAAAATCGCCTGGGAGGATTTGATTGAGAAATACAAGGTTATGCACGCCCAGCCCAGGGGGTAGGAGAAGAAATTATCCAACACCAAAATGACAAAGTAAGCTAGGGAAATGTTCCCCTTTCTTTTGGACATTTTTGGCAACTCATATTTCTCTCCTTTAAAGCTTTCAACATGTTTTCTAGGATTCTAGGGTCATGTCCATAAAAATTCTGTGTCAAGTTGAGAGTATTGCATCTGATCTGTGAGCACTGATCACTAGCATGGGGCATGGATGTTTCCTCTTCATTCCTCACTTTCTTATGGAGTTCCTGGAGATCATCTTGGTCTGAAGACCAATGCTTGATTGTTTGCAGTTAATATCTACTTTGAGTACAATGGAAGGAAGTGTTTAAGCTTGAATTTTTTTCTAGTAGCTGATAGGCAGGGATGTATGAGTAGGATATAGAATGGGCTGGAGGGAGGGGGACCCAAACATTTTCAATAAAGAATCCAGCGTTTGATTGCAGAAAGTCTCCTGTTAAACTATTTCTGCTTTTGTTGTTGTTCTTCTTCAACACCCTGAGAGCACAGAGGTTCAAACTGTTTGCCATGCCCCTTTTCTGTCTGCACAGGGTTTCTTGACCTTAATAAGGCAGGTAAACTGGATGCTGATGGCTCTTCCCTATTATCCTAGTCATTCAGGAGGCTGACATCTGAGCATCATTGTTCAAAGCCAGCCCAGGCAGGAAAGGCCGTGAGACTCTTATCTCCATCAAACTACTCAGAAAAAGCTGGAAGTGGCTCTGTGGCTCAAGTGGTAGAGAGCCAGCCTTGAGCAAAAGAAGCTCAGGGGCAGTGCTCAGACCCTAAGTTCAAACTTCAGGATGGGCACAAATAAAAAAAGAAAAGAAAAGAAAACAGAAACAGCAAGTAAATGAAATATATATATAAGGACCCTGAAATCCTTTCAGTCACAGAGAACACATGCTTCAAGGAGACACACATTCACAAATCAATACCCAATAAAACAAATACTCTCTCTCTCTGGCACATACAATTCTTCTGTCTTCATACAAACATCAACACAGATAAATTAACATACTATTAATAATTCATCAGCTTCCCACCAGCTTCAAACACTTGCTTCAAGCTTCAAGTTTTCAGGGTACTGGCAATCTGACTTTGTAGTTTCCTGATTCTGTTGTCCTCCCACTCTTCCCCTGTCCCCCCCCCCCCCGCAACTATACTAGTAACACTGCCACTCCTACCTCTTGATTTACAAGAGTCTCTTCCCTTTAATATTTTGACATAAAGGTGAACATTTAAGACTGAAGAGGGACATTGCAACAATAAAATAATTCTGAACGTCCTGTTAGGATGTCAAGCAGAAAACACCACACTGTATGTGAAATATGTGAAGAAAAAAAAGTGTTGCAGCTAGGCTCTGGTGGCTCACACCAGTTATCTTCCCTACTCAGGAGGTTGATATCTGAGAATCATTGATGGAAGTCAGCTTAGGTAGGAAAGTCTGTAAGACTCTTCAATGAACTAGCAAAAGTCTAGCATTGGAGGTATTCAAGTTGTAGAGTACCAGCCTTAAGCAGAAAAAGCCAAGCAAGAGTGCCCTGAGTTCAAACCCTAGTATGGGCATACACACACGTGCACCTGCACACACACACACACACACACACACACACCCCAAGTGTGTTGTTGCAATTAACTCTCTCACCTTTAGCTCAGGGTGCCCTTGGAACCTCTCTGGCTATCCCTAATCCTGTTTGAACTTACACAAGGGAACACTCTCAAAGAAGTCTAGAATCCACCAATCTAGTACCCAGAGGAAAACATGACTTTGGTTTCCACATGACCGTTTGTTATGTATTTTCTAGAATTTACCTTTTCCAGACCACAAGCAGGTCAAACCAACTCCATTCTGTGGTACAGGCTTTATTCTTACTCTCAGAAATGTGTGTGTGTGTGTGTGTGTGTGTGTGTTGTGTTGGTCTTGAGGGCTTGAACTCAACCTGAGCATTGTTCTTGAGCTTTTGTTCCTCCAGTCTAGTGCTCTACCACTTCCAGCTTTATTTTTTGTTTATTTATTTATTTATTGGTGTTTAATTGGGAGATAAGAGTCTCAGGACTTTCCTGCCCAGGCTGGTTTTGAACTGTGATTCTCAGATCTCAGCCTCCCGAGGCTCACAGATGTATGCCACCGGTGGCCAGCGATCCAACATTTTATACAATAGGCTTGACACTTCTATATAGGGCCTATGCTTGGCAAAGCAACACACATCCCACATTAACAGAAAAGATCTGGTTATTCTTATTATTTTTGATGACTGGAAAACAGTCCTATTTTATTCATGGAAACTTCAACCTCTTCCTCAAATCTGTCTCCCTCCCCGGCTTGTCCTGATGGACTATGAGCCTTAAATTGACATCACAATATCCCCTTTCTGAACAGGCACTGCCCCTTAGGGGCGGGGCAGGAGCAGAGAAGGTCAACACTTAGTCCACCCTGTGCCAAGTATGAATCAGTAGCCACACCAGGTCTCAGCAGGGCCACATCTGGAGAACTGGGGGTGAGGGGACAACATCACAAATTCCTGACCCCCAGCCTGGTCTCATCTTTTTCCATGGCAACAAGAAAGCGAAGGCCTGCAGGAACATTTGTCCCCCCTCGGCCCACTGCCCCTGCTTCTACCTGCTTGCCATCAGCCTGTCCAGTAGGAAGGTCCATGCCTCATGCTGTTATTCGCTCGCCCGGGGTGCCCCAGAACAGGCAACCTTGTGCTTTGCCTGCCAACAAGAAGATCGGCCCAAGTGTCTCCCGAGTGAAAGTGAATACGGCAGGCAACCTGAAAGATTTCACGTTAGCTGACAACACCTCAGTAAAGCAGCTCAAGGAGAAGCTGTCAGCTCACTTCAATTGCAGGACGGACCAAATAGTGCTGGTCTTCATGGGTCGTCTCCTCAAAGACCAAGACACACTGAGTCAGAGGGGCATCGCAGATGGCCACACCATCCACCTGGTGATCAAGTCCAAGAATGGCTCCAGATCCCTAACCAATCCCTCTCAGATTTTGCCAACCAAGGAGCCCTGCCACCGGGACAGAAACACCACAGATAAAAGCAAGGAGGGGAACCAACCAGCTGGCGTGAGTCAAGTCCCAGTAGAACCAGCTCTGCCTGTGGAATCTAATGTATCCAAGGTGCAGAATCTGGAAGTAGACAATTCACAAAATCTAACACGGGTTCTAGCAAATCCCAGCATCCAGTACCTTCTGTCCAATACCGAGTTCATACAGCAGCTCATCTCAGGCCACTCAGACATGCTACTACTGATGCAGCAGAACCCAGAAATCTCCCATGTCCTTGACAATTCTGAGGTCCTAGGTCAGACTCTTGGGCTGGCTCGGAACCTGGCGGTGATGCAAGAGGTAATGCAGCTTCATCAACCTGCACGGAACCTTCAGCATCCACTAAACCTACCACCATACCTGAGCTCAGAGACAATTCCAAATAGGATCAACGTACTGGATCCCACTTATGCTAATTTCCATGACCAAATGCTCCACAGCACACAAGATCCTTTTGGAGGTAACTCTTTTATAGCTCTCCTAGCAGACCAAGTGCAGGAACAAGTCCAGCCAACATCCTTACCACCTCGACCATTCCAGGAACAACGAGACCCTAGGACACCAATCAACCATATGAATCCTTCTGGTATATCTTCAATTGCCTCAACCCAAACCAACTTTAACAGGATCCATTCTACATCTAGGGTGAATACTGCTATGATCAAGGACCAAAGCCATGTAAGTGGCATCCAGCATTCAGCTAGGATACCATCCCTACCGAGCATATCCATTACCCAGAAGCCCCAGGAAGCTGGCACAAATGCTTCTGGCTTGGGTCAGAAGTTAGAAGGGCTCCAGATGTTGGATGACCAGACCAAGACCCAGATTACAGGAGGCATGATACAGTTGCTAATGAACCACCCTCACCTGGCCGCTCAGATGATGCTGTTCTTGAGTATGCCCCAGCTGAGTGAACTCTGGAGGCAGCAGGTGCCCACATTCTTGCAACACTCACAGACTTCAAATCTGCTCGTAGCTCTAGCAAACCCTAAGGCATCACAAGCAATATTACAGATCGAACAGGGACTCCAGCTGCTGGCCACAGAGACTCCTATTCTTTTGCCCTGGGTTGCACCTTACCTTTGGGGTCTGGGTTGGCTTCCTGCTCCTAGCTGTAGCTACCCAGACACAGAGCCCTGGCCTTGGAATGTGCCAGAGACTGCCGAGCCCAAGAATCCTGAGTGTTGCCCCAGGCATGAAGCAGTCCTGCAGAGCCTACAATCCCTCTCTGGAGACCCTTCCCATCCTGTACAAGGCCCTGAAAATAATTTCAGAAAGCAGATGGAAATCCTCCAGGCCATGGGATTTGCAAATCACCATGCCAACTTACAAGCACTTATTGCTAACAAGGGTGACACTAATGCTGCTATTCGCCAACTCAAGAGGTCTCAGTGATTCTAACCACCACACCCACCTGTCTGTTTTCTATCTACCTGCTGATTCATTTGATCATCTCATCTGTTGTTTTCATCTTCCCCAACACTTCCATCCAGAAGTCCTGGGACAGGAGAACCAATCAATGCTTTCTTAATCAAATATTAGACACTGGTCATGGCTGGAAGATCTGTCAATAAAATGGCTACACCTACTTTGCCCTCACTGAGGTTTGGCTTTGTTTCTTTTGCAGAAAGGCAACTAGATGTTTTAGATATTCTTACTTTACACACACACACACACATCCACATACACATTCACATATTAACAGAAAAGAACCATAGTTTAATATATATACATATATATATATATAATGCTCACATATCTAAAAACAAGTACATGTACACAGATGTACATAAATATCTAGAGACTCATAAACAGACCCATGTGTAGGAGAAGTTGGTCAGAGAGGAATTTCTATACAGACCTAGACATTTAGTCATAAAGGTTGATATGTCTTCCTAATTTTCTCAAATCTACATTGTTTGAAAGTAAAAGAATGACCTACTGGTTTAACAGAAGAAGAATGAATATCGACTAGGTCTTAATAGATACTTAGAAGCAGAGCTTCTTACTAATTGTCGCTAACATGATTATAGGACTTTGATGGGCTGTGGCTATGCCTCCTTCAGCAAACAGAAATGCAGCTATTGCCTCTTTCACTGCCTATTTTAGTCAACACAAACAGCCCTATATGACACCAATGTGTGTCTCTCTATATTTAGATATATAGAGACATATGTGTCTCTATATATCTACATATATATATATACACACATATATATCTACATATATAGAGACACACATACACACATACACACACAAACCATGGGTACATATATATGTATATGTAAATACCCATACACTCCTGCGCAGTCCTGAGGTTTGAACTCAGATTATTGCATTCTTAGGCAGGAGCTCCATGTCCTCGTGTCTTATGTCTGTAGCTTGTCCTGTCCACCATGGCCAAGACCCCACTTCTATTTTCACTTTGCTTAGAGTATCCTGGAAGAGTATACAATCAATTATTCAACTAAGAAACAATTTCATCAACTCAAGTCCCAATTTAATAAGTCAATGTGCTTTTGATAGTTGAAGGAAGAATAGTGACTTAACAAAGATCTTTTATTTGGGGGGCATTTCCTTTGTAGAGATATAGTGTTCAAATTAACTTACAAATGTATTAGGTAATGACAAGTGTCATGGAGAAAAATGAACTTGGATAAGTGATTCTAATCCGAATGATCTGATAATATCTCTGAAATTGAGCTAAACTCAGAAGGGCACGTGATCTACATGTACAGTTCCCTGGATGTAGAGTAGAGAAGTAGAGAAGGCTGCACCAGAGTCAAGAAAGCACCAAGATTGAGGTTTTCCCATGGTGTTTGAAAAATAATTAGGAGGTAGAAGTAAAATTCATAAAAAGGGTAGGGGGATCAGAGAGATTATGTACAGCTTTGTAGGTCTGGAGAGAATTTTGCCTTTTTCTGTGACTGCAATAGTCACTGGTGGACACATTAATTACAGTCATTCAAAGATATCACAAGATCAAAACACTTCCTGAGAATGAAATCCCAGCATTAGTTATCCTGTTCCTGTGGTTCTTTTCATTGCTCTCTGTGCAGCTATTAAATATTTCTCTTTTTGATTGATTGATTGATTGATTGATTGATTGATTGTGTGTGTGTGTGTGTGTGTGTGTGAGGGCCTTGTACTCTGAGATTTTTTTTTGTCAGTCCTGGGGCTTGAACTCTGGGTCTGGGTGCTGTCCCTCAACTCTTCAGCTCAAGGCTAGTGCTCTACCATTTGAGCCATTGCGCCACTTCCAGTTTTCTGAGTAGTTTATTGGAGATGAGTCTCATGAACTTTTCTGCTGGGCTGGCCTCTAGAGTAGCTAGGATTACAGGAGTGAGCCACCTGCACCTGCCTAGATTTTGTTGTTCAAGGCTGTTGTTCTATCATTTGAGCCATTTCTGTACTTTCAGCCTTTTGCTGGTTATTCAGAGATAAGTCTCAAGGACTTTCTTGCCTTGGCTGGCTTTGAACTGTGAACCTCACATCTCATCTACCCAAGTAGCTAACAGGTATAAACCATTTTTTATATGCATAGGGTTCAACAATGTCTTCTGATATTCTTCCTTGGCTGCCCTCTGCATCTTTTTATTTGTATGCAACTTTTATTTATTTGTATGCAACTTTTAATGTAATTATGAAGTTTGTTATATAATTTGATTATTAATATTAATATAATTTAAAAATAAATTGTGTTTAGTTGCAAAGGAAAATGAGATGATCAAATCATTGAGGTTGTACCGTAAAAATTCTAAGTCTCAGAAACAATATAATCTGAAACAAAAACAGGTGCTGGAAGATTTTATGCAGTGGAATGGAGTACTGTAATGCAACTTTTCAGTTTGACTGCTGGGTAGAGAATAGACTAGTAATAGAGGATCAGGGAAATCAGGAAACCAGGGCTTTTGCAATAGAGCTGGTAAGAAATGGTAGTGTCTGGGATTAAGGTAGGAGTAGTGAGAAACAGGTTCTGTACTCCTGAATCCACAGAGATTTATGCATTCTTCACCTTTCTCAGCCTTGAAATTACCAAAGGAGTCCACGGCTGCTAACAAGCTCACTACCACAGAACCTGCTGCACCACCACAAGTTGACAAAGAGGTAAATCAAGAAGGCTAACAAAAACCAAATGATGACCTTTATTTCTCTGAGTAAGTCTTGCACCCTACTTGATTCACTTTATAATAAAGCCCAAATTATTCCTCTATTTGTTTTTCTAAGACAAGATCTTTCGGGTCTCACGGTACTGTCCAGCTGGCCTCTAACGCACAGTTCTGCTTCAGTGTTGTTTGTGCTGAGATTATAGGTGTACACTCCCACTCCCAGAATCATGTGATCTTATTGTCATCCGTTTCTTATCTGCTGTGACAATCCCTCGTCTGGCTCCATTTTCCACTACATCATTGCTAATTTTCCAATCTTCTGTTTTTACTATTTGGAGCTTATAACTTAGCAAAAACAAAAAACGAAATCCCTTACGTACATAAATATCTTTCCAAAACATCCCCTACCTGTTTGCCGTAGCTGGGGTCTTCCCAAGGAGGGCATTGCAGCTCCAGCACAGTGGTGGCTTTCTTTCAATCTCTGCGGATCTAGAAGTGAGTATGAGTCATTCTTTCTTCTTGCCGCTTTCCCCCCCTTTTTATTATTATGGTTAAGTGGTTGTACAAAGGACTTTCCATTTGACACAACAATCTATCATGATCAGTGTCACCTCTTCCCACAATCCCACCCATGCCACCCATCTTGCTGCTTCTTGACTTGAGTTCTCTGACTTTTAGGCTATTCCCTAATTCACTCATGCATCATTCTGCAGAATAATCTATAACATTATGATGATTGTATTCAACCCTGCCTAGACTCTTTGTAGGCATAGAAAATTGACACACATGTCAATTTTATTTGAATTGATTATTCAAAGACTTGGTATATCCTGAGTATATCCAGTCATCAACTTTTAGCAGTGTCCAGGAAGTGGTAAACTGTAGCTTGATGAGTTGCTAGAACAGGGCTCATATTTCTAACAAATTAACAAGTGATGTCATTGCTACTGCTCTGGGACCACATATGGCATTTTTTTTTGCCAGTCCTGGGGCTTGAACTCTGGGCCTGGACACTGTCCCTGAACTTCTTTTGCTCAGGGCTAGCACTCTACCATTTGAGCCACAGGGCCCACGTCCAGCTTTTTCTGTTTATGTGGTACTGAGGAATCGAACCCAGGGCTTCACGCATGCAAGGTAAGCACTCTACCACTAAGCCACATTCCCAGCCCCACATATGGCATTTTATTGGCCTAGTCAATTCATTGTCTTATCCTTGGAGATGACCATTTTATATCCTTACCACTTTCAAATCTTTGATATCCTCTTTTCTATTCTACAACTCAGTGGACTTTTTGGGGGCCTATTTTAACCATATAAAGGGACTTCCACTAGTGTTCACTTCTAAGTAGCCAACTAATTAACATCTTTACCTTATATACTTGCCCTCAGTTCTGATTTAATGAATAAACTCATGTCCATAAGTCAAGCTGTTAAGCTCTTCATTTAGGTATCTATTTACTCAGGGACTTATTTTATTTTAAACTGGGGATTGAACCTAGGTCCATCTGCCTGCTAGGCAAGTGTTCTACCACTGAACCACAACCCCAAGCATTTTTTAAAATTAAATTTTCCTTTTCTCCATCAGTTGTTTCCCCTCATTGGATTGCTCCTATCAAAGGGTAAAGATGTTGAAGTGATGACACAGCTCAAGATGCATTGTACACAGAAACTGCATTTTAACTTTAATTTTTAATTTTTAAATTTTTGCCAGCCCTGGGGCTTGAACTCAGGGCCTGGGCACTGTCCCTGAGCTTCTTTTTGCTCAAGGCTAGCACTCTACCACTTGAGCTACAGAACCACTTCTGGCTTTTTCTGTTTATGTGGTACTGGGGAATCGAACCCAGGGCTTCATGCATGCTAGGTAAGCACTCTACCACTAAGCCACATTCCCTGCCCAGAAAGTGCATTTTTAAATGGCAAAAAATTCAATACATAACCTAAAATGAAGATAAGTAAGGGGAGGAGTGGATGAGAATAATGAAAGGGGTGACATTGGTCAATACGCATGGTATTCCTGAACTGCTTTGGTGAATGGCAACTCCTTTGCACAATTACTTAAAGATAATACAAATATTCAAAAAATTTAAAATATACTATGCTAGCCTTAAGAAAAACTTAAAACAGGAGCTGGGAAGGTGGCTCAGTGGTAGAGGGCTTGCCTTGCATGCTTGAGGCCCTGGGTTCAATTCCTCAGCACCACATAAGCAAAAAGAAAAAAGCCGGAAGTGGTGCTGTGGCTCAAGTGGTAGAGCGCTAGCCTTGAGCAAAAAGAAGCTCAGGGACTGAAGAGCTGAGGGACAGCGCCCAGGCCCAGAGTTCAGGCCTCACAACCGGACCCCCCCCCAAAAAAAAAGAGAAGAAAAATGTAAAACAGAGACACACATACACACATATATACACACAATTTGTTATATCCCACTTAACCTCCAGATCCTCTTTCTCATTCACAATACTCATATCCACTTGCTTTTCACTCATTTACTCTTAAACACATTCCAATTAGGCTCTCTGTCTCTGCCATTGCTCTAAACAGTATTTTATTAAAGGCCAAAAATACTATGATCCTTGACCCATCTTTGATCCCCCAAATTGTATTCATCAGCAAATCAATATGTTGAAAACATATAAAGAGTTCATGCATCTTGACTATCCCCTTCAACATTCTTACTGCCCTTCCACTCACCCTTCCCTTACTTAACTTTATTTTCCTGTTCTTTTTAAAAATATGTTTTTGAGGGGTTACAGTTACATGAGTGAGGTAATGAGTTGATTTCCTATGGAGCAGTGTTACTTCTTCCTTTGTTTTTCCCCTACCATCCCTTCTCCCCCCACCCCCCATTAACTTTGTGTTAAATGGGATTGCATTTGCCCCTCCCCCTTTATTTGTTTACCCTTCTCCTCTTGGCCCCACCCCCAACTAAATGTACCATTTCCTGGTGTTGATTTTGTTAGCTTTTGACTAGTCTTTCTAAAAGATTATACTGTTTGAGCTCTCCATAGTCTATTTTACTAAAGGCAATTCATCTGTAACCACTTGCATAAGGTCCATCCCAACATGTTTACTTCTACATTCATAGGTACATTCTATCTACCACAAATGAAGGAAACCTGGCAACCTGTGTTTCTCTGGGTCTCTTTCACTTCACTGATCAAGAAGCATTGTATTCATAAACTACTTTTTTCATATGTCTTTCTTTTAATTAAAAAAAAAGGATCATAGGGTGCCATGTTCATGAGTAATCACAGGAGATGGCTCGGTAAAGATTGTGAAAACTAGTTTCTCATTGCACCTACCTCCCCCTCTTTCTCAAACATAAATATTTCCATTTAATAAATGCCTGGTTCCTTTGCTTATTCAAAAAAGAAGTTATGGTTAATATTGACTGAGACAGAAAACAGGGACACAGGGAGCTGAGATCTGATGATTCCAGTTCAAAGCCAGCCTGGGCAGGAAAGTCCATGAGACTGTTTTCTCAAATTAACTACCAGAAAACCAGAAGTAAAACTGTGGCTCAAAGTGGTAGAGCAGTAGCCTTGAGCACAAAAGCTCAGGTACAGTGTCCAGGCTCTGATTGAAGCCCCAGGACTGACAACAACAACAACAACAATAACAACAACAACAACAACAAATCCCCTAAACAAAACAAAACCAGGGACACAGGATTCCAGGCGGAAACTTTAAAACAGGAAGGAGCTGAACTCAGCTCTTCATAGAGACGTAGCCACCAGCAGCTTTTTATAGTCATCCAACCCTAGTAACAGTCTCCATATACCACGCTGGAGTGAAGTCAGGTCTTGAGGCCTGAGGAATGCTCAGCCCAGGGCCCTCTTTAAAGAAGGCAATTGAGGAAATAGAAACAGAATAAGTCAGAGAAAGGGGTAGGAGTTCCCAGGGATCCAGAACACCTTGCAGGCATTTCCAGAATCCATTGAAGGAGGCTGTGATGTCAGTCCTGAGGTCACAGAGGCGACTTGATGGAGGGGCTTCCGGCCCAGAAGGCCTAAGGGGTGGCTGTGCAGCAAGATGAGGGCAGTTTGGAGCCCTGCATAAGGGGAAGGACGGGGCCACAGCTGACTGGTATGTATCCCCAGGACCATGCCCTTCTTTATACCTTTACCCCCTCATTTATCAACTCAAGGCTTTGCCCCCATTTTTTCCATCATCCCTGAATCTCTCAATCCCATCATACACCTAAACAACCTGTCCTCAGACCCACCTGGCCCTCTCCATGTGGACCTGCCAGCTTCCCCAACCCCAGGAGTCAGGATGCTCTACTCTCACTACTGCCCCAAGGGTTGATCTTAGTCTTCCATCCCCTCTCCCCTAGCTGTGTCCCCACAGATCTGGGCCTCCTGCTGCCCATCATGGCCAAAAGTGGAGAGGCTCTGCCACAGGACAGCTCAGCACCGGCCCAGGATCCCCACCTCATCAAGGTGACAGTGAAGACGCCCAAGGACAAGGAAGATTTCTCAGTGACAGACACATGCACCATCTGGCAGCTGAAGCAAGAGATATCACAGCGCTTTAAGGCCCATCCAGATCAGCTGGTCCTAATCTTTGCTGGAAAGATCCTCAAGGACGCGGACTCACTGGCACAGTGTGGAGTACGAGATGGTCTCACCGTTCACCTGGTCATCAAGATGCAGCGCCGCACCATTGGCACCGAATGCCCAGCTGCTGTAGTTCCTGCCCCAGGCCCAAGTCCCGGATCACTCGCTCAGCCAACCTCCATTTACCCAACAGATGGGACAACCACCTTCAGCTTAGGTGTCCTCACAGGCCTCAATGGGTTGGGCCTGACCTCTGGCAGTTTTCCTGACCAGCCGAGCTCACTGATGTGGCAGCATGTATCAGTGCCCGAGTTTGTGGCTCAGCTCATTGATGATCCCTTCATCCAAGGCCTGCTGTCCAACACAGGCCTGGTGCGCCAGTTGGTTCTAGACAATCCCCATATACAGCAGCTGATCCAGCACAACCCTGAGATTGGGCATATTCTCAACAACCCTGAAATCATGCGGCAGACGCTGGAGTTTTTACGTAACCCTGCCATGATGCAAGAGATGATGCGTAGCCAGGACCGGGCACTCAGTAACCTGGAGAGCATCCCCGGTGGCTACAATGTGCTTCGTACCATGTACACAGATATTATGGACCCAATGCTGAATGCAGTCCAGGAGCAGTTTGGTGGCAATCCATTTGCTACCACGAATGCTAATGCTGCCACCAGTAGCAGCCAACCTTCAAGGACAGAGAACTGTGATCCTCTCCCAAACCCCTGGACTTCCACATACAGAGGAGGCCCAGGTGGCAGGCAAGGAAGGCAGCCTGAGGACCAAGATACATCTGAAATTAGAAACAGGGTTCCAAGCTTTCTGGGTAATATAGGGCTGTTTGATTATTTCCAGCAATTGCATGAGACAGGCCCATCCCTGGGGTCCTATTTTCAGGGGTCTGTATCTTCCTCCAATCCAAGCCAAGGACAACTACCACCACCAGTTAACAGAGGTCCCCCAGTGTCACCATCCACCCAGGAACCTGGGGCAGGACAGCCTCTCCCCACAGAGTCAGTAGCAGTCAAGGGCAAGTCCTCCTGCCCATCTTTTCTGAGATATCCCCCGGAGAGCAGCACTGGACAAGGTGGAGGCCAAAATGGCCTAGGGGATGACTCTATTGGCCATAGCCCTAGCATGCCAGATCTGGTGTCTGGAGATTCTGGCAACAGGTCCCCATTTGTTCCTTCACCATCTTCCCCCATGACAGCTATTCCTAGAGTCCCTGAATCTCCCTGGCTGTCTTCATCAGGTTATTCAAGATCTCTGAGGACAGATGGCATGCATCAGGCCCCGCAGTTGCAGGATGAGATGCACCAACAGCTTCCATTACTGCTGCACCTGCAGACAGCCATGGAAAACCCTCGGGCCATGCAAGCCCTGCTGCAGATAGAGCAGGGTCTGCAGGTCCTGGCTACCGAATCACCTCGCCTCTTACTCTGGTTCATGCCTTGGCTAGTAGGACTTGGTGGTACAGCAGGAGGTACAGAGTCTAGAGAAGATACCCTTCTATCAGAGGATCTCCACTCAGCCCCAGATCCTCAGGTTTCCCCAGTACAGGGGTCTGCAGAGCAAGATCTCCATTCCTCTCCCTTCCTCCAAATGTTCCAAGCCTTATCTACTACCAATCCTCAGCAGCTGCAACCCGAGGCTCATTTCCAGGTGCAACTTGAGCAACTGAGAGCCATGGGCTTTCTGAATTCTGAAGCCAATCTTCAGGCTCTCATTGCTACCGGGGGTGACGTGGATGCTGCTGTGGAGAAACTGAGGCAGTCATAGGAGTCCTCTGTGCCTTTCCCCCATAGCCTATTACCTAGCGCTCCTGCTCTTGAATACAGCTGCACTATAAACCAAATTTACTATAATGCTCTTTACTGAGGAGACAATGTTGGTCCAGAGTCATTGAGGAAGACTAAAGAGCCAGAAATAGGGTAGGGGTACTGTGTGTGACCCAATCACTTCTTCTACGTTCCTGCCATAGGGCCCCTGTCTGAGCTCTGTGTATGTTTACCTTGAGATGCAATTACATCCATTCTCCAGTGTCACCTGCTGCCTGAGTTTCATTCTTATGGGCTACACAAAAACGGGGAGAGTGCCAAATGATGGTGGTTCACGTCTGTAATCCCAGCTACTCAGGAGGCTGAGATCTGAGGATGGTAGTAAGAGGCCAGCCTTGGCAGTGAAGTCCGCGAGACTCTTGTCTATAATCAGCAAAAAGCTGGAAGTAGAACTGTGGCTCCAGTGATAGAGTACTAGCCTTGAGGCAAAAAGTTAAAGGTCAGCATCCAGACCCGGTGTTCAAGCCCCAATACTGATATGCACACAAAAGAGAGAATGTGGGAGAAGACCTGGTGATAAGGACTATTTCTATAGAGGGAGAGCTTGGGGCAGGGTGGGGGACTAAAATGTTTACAGTCAGAAGATAAAGACACAAAGAGACAAAGAGTCAAACCGAGTGAGCCGGGAGAGACAGATAGAAACACAGAGGGAAATACACAAGCACCCTCACATGCACACACACATACACACCTACAGAGTCAGAGCTGAGTGAGACACACAGAAAAACAGGGAACTGTACACATACACAGCACACACACAGAGTCAAAGAGACAGCCGAGTGAGACAGAGAAAAACCCATAAATAAATACACAAGTCAGAGAGGCAGTTGAGTGAGACAGAGACACAGACACTGAGAGAGAGAGAGAGAGAGAGAGAGAGAGAGAGAGAGAGAG